TTGGGACAGAACGGGGTTCATTGAAATTTCGTGAGATTGCATGCAAAATGCATGCGATCTCACGAAATTGCAATGAACCCCGTTCTGTCCCAATATAACCCTCACCAAAATATAAAAAAGGTTATATGGAACATAATTATTCGGTCTACCCTGAACCCAACCATATCCTGGGTTTGGGTTACATTCGATTATTGTATCTACCAGGTTGCTATAGAAAATAGAGGTAGGTCTATAGATGCTATGGTATTATTGCCGATAACTTGCTGTAAATGCCGTTCAAATGCTCCTCTGCAACACACAAGTACACCGCACGTACGCCACTGTGCATAAACAACAAGAATATTCCAATCTTTTATTCTTGTTGTTTGTGCAGTATACTGTATTATGTTAATATGTATAGTAGTATAATAATTGTGAATTTGTGTATTTATTGTCTTGGCAGGGTCGTCCTGTTGTAATGCAAAAGTCTGGAAAGTCGAATACTGAGGAGGAGGAAGCTGGCGAATCGGAGGGTTTACTAGCTGATGCAATGACGAATTCTGACATGGGTAAACAGTAAAGCTAGCTGTTTGTCTGTTCGCAACATACTCTCTTCTCTACAACCCGCATCGAAGATTTCAACCAAGAATCAAAAAAAATTATCGATCTTTCACATTCTTTTTTTTTACAAATTGTATTACTGTACATTATATAAATCTGTAGACAATAGTTATACACTATATGTACCAAGCAAAACAAACATTCAACATAAAAGGTATCTCGACACAAGCACCCAAGCATGTAGACACCATGCTGAATTTGTAAAAAGTCATCCAAAAAAGTCTACCTACCTACCCAAACTTTTCAGCGTGGGTCGGGTGAGGGCAAACAAAGTTTGTCAAATTTGTAACACCATTTTTAGCTCACCTTGACATCGTCAAGATGAGCTATTGCCATGGGGCGTCGTACGTCCGTCCGTCTGTCCGTCTGTCAACATTTGGCTACGGTCAACGATAACTTGAGAACCGTTTGACCCACATTTTTCAAATTGCATACAGTTGTTACTCCTATGGGAGAGATGTGAACGTCCTATTTTGGGGCATGCCAGTTGATCTACTTTTGAGCCACGCCCATTTTTTGGCAAAAATGTAAATGGCCATAATTCAGTTCAGGTTCAACGGATTTTGCTCATTTTTGGTACGGTATGTGAATGAATAAGGACTGGCCCCAAAACATATCACAGGTGTTTTGTTATTTTTTTAAAATTATGCACAGGTATTTTTTTAGCAATTTTACTATGCATTTCAGTGTCTGCCTACGGTCAACGAGAACTCAAGAACCGTTTGACCCACATGTTTTAAATTGCAGACAGTTGTGACTCCTATCGGAGAGATTTGGACGTCCTATTTTGGAGCACGTCGACCTACTTTCGAGCCATGTCCACTTTTTGGCAAAAATGAAAATGGCCATCTAGATTTTTCGATTTTGTTAAATTTACCTACCGACCTACCTCCCTAATCATACCTACGTGTAATATCGTGTTTTAGAGTCTTCGTTACAGTGATTTGACTGGAATATTTTATTGCTTTTATTCGCACGATAATCGAAAACCAAAATGGCGATCATTTAGGCGTAGCGCCATTTCTCGCTCAGATTTCAGACTTTCAGATCTGAAACATTTATTATCGCATCAAAACTAACTCTGAAACAAAACAGTGAAATTTCTATTACTATAAAACGGAATAAGGACATTTGATCACATTTCGGTCTGTCATATAAATGAAACACTTGCCAAATTTTAAATATCATCTCCCTCTTCTATCACACCCAAGGTGAGCTATAGTGTCATTGACACTTTCATTAATTGTGGCCTTATCTGGGTATTTTTTTAATTTCACAAAAATGAAACAATAAAATTGCTGGCTGAGGAATTTTCTCGTTGGTGTTACCATGCAGGCAACATGGCCGTGCTGTTTGACAAGTCTCCGCCACGCTTGGAGTTCCAGAATACATCTGGCGACTCGGATGAATCGCCAAAGGTTGAGATTGTTAATGGGACGCCTAGCGAAACCCAGCGCTGGAAGCTAATGCAGGTATAGTCTTAAACATCAAATTCTATTAACAGGGGCCCAAGATTTTATAACCAGTGAGAATGAAAGCTACAGTCAGGTATGATGATAAAGATCATGCTATTCCATAAAATCTATCACAAATTTTGCAATAAATCGCTCAAAAAAAGGAAGTAACGAACTGAATAGACTATGCCTGAATTTTATCATTAAAAATAATATGGTGAATGCATTTATCGCTACTGCGTGAAATGCAACGTGTAACTTACTTTTTGCCTGTTTTGGAAAATATAGGATGGTAAGAGTTGACGTAAGTCCCATCGTAATATCCGTAAATATCGTTCTCAGATGCAGGTCGTGTCGCTGTTGCTTGACAACAATGTTTGACAACAAAATAACGTCTCTGGCGCAGGAATAATGGGCGTGATGTTGTGGCATGTAGGGTGAGACGCATGCTCCTGTTGCTCCCGTGTTATCAGTATTAGTATAGTATATACTAGCTGCGGGTACCCGCTGCGCTGGGTAAAATCGTGCTACTAATTCATACTACTAAGTAATAAT